GCTTATCCAGTAGGCTAAGGTACTGTTGGTATTTGGCGGGGGTGAATTAGAGTCTCTTATAGCTATTGAGTGACAGCAAGCGTTAAGAAAATAAAAAGCCAACCCCGGGACTCGAACCCACTGTCTAACGATCTCATAACCGCAAACTTAACCACTCGGCCATTTAAGAGATACTGCTTTTTGCGGTTCTTGATAAGAAGATAACAAAATTAGTAACATTACTGTTTGAAGACTGAGTGATTGAAACATTGCAATAGTGCATGCATTGCGTAGCAAAACACATTTACACAGACGGCGGTCGTCAACATTCGATGTTCCCCATGACACCTTCTCTTGACTATTTTTAAATGAAAGCACACCAATGTAGGCAAGTCCCCAGACCATGTCAATACACCTGTCTAAGTCTGATCTCTTTCATATTATTATGTGAATGACACGCCATTTTTGCTTTTATTTTGGGGGTGGGGGTTCTCTCGTTTCCTTTACGAGCATAAAATGACAGCCGAATCAGGAACCCAATAGTTGTGTTAAATAAACCGTAATGAATTAATGAAAGTGTTGTGTGGAGGATCTGATGTGTGGTGTATCTCTCATCAGACACACTGTCCTGTGAGGAGAATCTCTTTACAGCAAACTCCTTCTCATTAAAGATGTGGTTGAACAAGCACTTCTCCTGTCATATTATAATTCATTCTCAACATTGCAGACCTTGAGTTGTATTTCAGTTGTGTGAAATGTTGATGCAAATACGTCAGTGTATACTTGCATTTAATATCATTCACTTTTTTTTTAATTTTTCTTTATTTCTTTTTTTACAGTCCACACCATAGATGAGAATGATGATGTTCTACAATCATGGCAAAAATGGTTTGGACACGTATCAATTGTTACCCTCCCCAGGTCTCCATCCCCCACTCAATGTTGTCATCTCGAGCAGGAGCGCATGCCCCGCATCGACACGCAACATAGACCTCTTAACTAATACATTCGTAAATAATTATGCACGCATGCGCACAAATGGCTTTGGCGGCAAGAAGTGTGAGCGGGCCATTGAAAATGTACAGGGCGCGACTTCGACGATCATTTTCTGACTTTGTTCAGTGTTTCCTCCAGAAAATCCCATCAAATCGTTTTTGCTGCTAGTTTCTAATTTAAGTGGAATTTTTAGTGCTCTGCTAAATGTTTTTGAAAATAGTAATTTTTCCTGTGTGAACGAGATCGTCATTTCTTAGTGTGGCCCCCTTCCATCATAAGTAGTATAAACTATATCGTTAGTGTTCTTGGAGCCAACCTGTGCATTTTGCAAAAACATGATGTTCAGTGCAAACGTACACTCTACGTACATAGCTTACCATTGAACTTGATCATATAGCTTGAAGTAGGCCTACTATCGAAAGAAATGGTATCTAGTTGTTGTGTTCGGGGTTTAACAAGACAAAGTGCAGATGCCAAAGATAAAGAAATCTGGTTCTTCGGATTTCCCAAGTGCTGAGAGCAGCGAATCGAATGGGCACAGGATCGGTACTGATTGTGCGCGTGCGCATGCGTGCATAAGTAGGAAATTTATCCGTGAGAGGGGGCCGGGGCCTGAGATTTGGCCAGGATTGTAGCTCCCGCGCGCGCAGTGTGAAGAGGGCCAGTCAGAGATTGGCTTTCTTAGAGGAACTTCAGTCAACCAATCAGTAACAGTCTACCGCGGACTTTTTCTGCCACCATGTTTATTTTAAGGTGTAGCCGTTTTCCAATACGAGATTCGTCTCTTTACAGGCATCGTCTTTTTTCAACCGCCTTCCACTGAAGTTGTTAACTCAATAAATGCAGTAAGTCCAATAGTGCCGACGGAACATCCAATAAGATGCAACAGAGCAAATATTTTTGTAAGCCTACATTAATTTAATTTGAACACTTCACTAGGCGTACAATCGGAGTTGGATTTTGGAGACAAAGCCCAGACGGAAACGAAGTCAAGTACTGGAAAACGGCAACCCCGCCATCTTTCCACACAATCCTCCATTGTAGGCCCAACTGTATTTAACCTTCTAAGCGTGTCCAAGAACGTAAAAGTTTTCGTTCTAAAGTCTGTTCACGAATGCCAGAAACTTAGTGTTTGGCGACAAAAATGTATCAGAAAATCTCATGTGGGTCCTCGCCCGTCTCTTTCGGGGCAAAACCCCTTGACCTCCAGCCAGCAGGTCTCCACAAAATCTACATTGTGCCGACCTAACTCTGCAACTCTTTCTCTCGAAAATTCGACATCACGGCTGTACGGCCAGAGAAAGTCCAGACCAAATCCAGGACAAAACCACAATCAACGCAACTTACTGGTAAGTTATCTCGCAATTTATTTCTGTAAAGCAAGTGGAACAGTGACATTAAACTTTATACTGATGTCATATTTAATTGCCAGTTCTGGCCACTCCCGTTTCAAAGGGTCTTGCTGTCAGCAACGCACACACGAGCCTATATCTTTCAACATAGTCACGCTTTCATTTGCTACACTTGAGTGTTTAGTGTTATACTGGTGTTAAACGCGAGTGTCACACGCCCGATAGTAAATGAACGAGATACATGCTTGTCATTACCTTTGCTGTTGTACGAACTGGACACGAGAGTGTACTAAAGTATTCCCACAGATCAGTTTTTCCAGCAGAAAATAAAACATAATGCAGCACTCACGAAAGCTTGTTAACCTGCATGTGCATGTATACCCAGTTGTGGCCAGACACGTAGGATGACTGAGTTTTAGTCCACATACAAACTTCCAATAAACCCAACTTACTAAAATGCAATGTTAGTATCCAATTAGACCCCATTTTCATTATGCAATGCTACATAACTGTGCATAGGCAGTGTTGCTTTGATGGTAATAGTTTGTTTTTCATCTTTCCAGCCAGCAATGTCAACATTTGCATTAATTGGTAAAGTCTGTGATGCAACTGACATCCCAGATTTAATTAGGATCCCAGCTGTTCTGAGAGTACCTCTTGACTCATTACAACATTCCACATCAGTAAATTACAGTGTCATCTCTGACTGTTTTAACATTACTGTATTATTTCACTATATTGAATACCACTCAATTACTATTAAACTAATTACCAAATTAGCCAACAAAATTTAAGATATGCTATTGGCACATGAACGTTTGCGACCTGGGACCAATGAGTTGGCTCCACATACCACAAAAGAAGAATCCCTGCATACTGTAGTAGGAAATTATATATGCTAACAGTGTATCTGTCAATTCATGCATGTACAAACCCAGTAATTATAGAGATTATGTGCTGGCAGGGTTAAAAGAGAAGGTCAAGTGATCAGAAATTATACAAAGGCCTTCCTAAAAATAAAGAAAACAGGATGTCAGACTGACAAAAAAGAAAGGAAGCCTGGTCATGGTTCCAAGCACTTCAATTATCCACCACTGTCTCAGGAAAAATGATTCTGAGGAATATTATTGAAGTTTAATCAGTTACAAGATGTTTTGATTCAACAATCATGATGTGTAAATTAAGTGCAATATGTACAAGTAACAGATAACGGATAGTATTTAAACATCTTGGACCAAAACGGAAGAAACCTGGCTGATCTAGCAGTCTTAAATCATTTATCACGTATATCTGAGACTGGAGTAAACTCTCAAAATTCCACATGTACCAGTTTACAATATACAATAGGAAATGAAATTAAACATTATATTACGACAGTAGCAGATACCAGGCAAAGACAAACATTTCAAATAAAACGTGCAGATTAAAAATAAACTGAAACTATGAAGTGAGATGGCCTTGTAAATATAACAGTTTGGTATTAAGATTTTAAGCTTAAGTGCCAACACCAAAGCACACAGAAACAACGCGCACCTTCTCTGCGGTTTGAAAAAAAAACAGGTCAACAGTATCCCATTAATCACAAAAAATAAGTATTTTTACCTATCATCACCTTGCTAAAAATGCAACTATTGGTGATACCAAAAATCTGCATTATCTTGGATCACCCTAAATTCGCGCATGCAAATATTCACGCATCCAAGTCTCTAGTCGTGAAACTCTTGAACGAAATTATGCACCGACGTTAATTTACTGTCGATGATCGATCGTCACTTCGGCGTTTTTCTCTTTTTGCAGCGAATATTATGAGCGAATTAAAGCTTTTCCAGTGAGAATTCGGGAGAAATGTCAGCAGAGCATTAAGTTTTACTCTACAGACTAAATACAAAATGAACCGGTTGAAATTGTCCAGAAAACGGATTAAATGACCGCTGTTCGCTCTCAATCGGTGTTGGACGTCTGAGACGGGCACAAATGACGACATCGATCAACTTTCGCCAACTACACCTACATGTACATGTAATGAGAGCGTTATGAACAATACTACGGAGCCTGAAAAAACATTGCCCTCCTTATATTTTGAGGTTTCTGTTGCCGACGACCGGTTGGGATTTGGTGGCACTGTATTTTGGGACTTTTTTCAGAAATACACGCAGAAAGAGAAGTTTTGCCATAATGTCTAGATCAATCACTCATATATGCCAATTGCGATTTATTTGAAAGCCTCAATGTAACTTGAAATTAAAATGACAAAAAATGCATAAATAGGCCTAAAAACTAGGAGAACGAAGACGAGAAAGTGATGGAAAGTTAAACTACGGTGAATAACCAAACCAAAGTAATTAATGCAAAAAAAATTCCTTGTTCAGGAGATATTAACTGGCAGGTTTTTTCAGAAGTAGGGCATTACTGATACCCCATAAAATGACGTTTGCAACGTATGTGCTCGAATTACGGTGACGTAGTTTTATTGCAGCCGATGTGACTCTCGTTTGTAGACGACGCTGTTCTTGTTCCTTCGATGTCATCCGATGTTCTCTGTAACATTATTCCTATTCCATGTAGTATTTAGTATTTTCAGCAACATGTAGTGAGAATGAAGCCATAACAATTTAGTTTATTTAAGAACAAATTTGGTCAAAGTACTAAGTGCGAGAATTAAGGTGACTCGTGGATACACAACTGCGAAAAATAACGAACTGGTCGTCTTTTTTGTTTCATCTTGATCCAAGACAAAAGAGAATACGGTGCTCACTAAAATCTCACGCAAACGCCAATACACAAGGTACAGGAATCACCAGTACCATAATAACGTGAAATCTGACAAACCCATTTTTTCATTTCCAGAAAAAAACCTCTCATAATCACCTTAAGAATCAATATTAGTTAGCTCAAGTGATATGAAGCCGTAATTCACTGCAAGCAAAACATACCAGTAAAAACTAAATATTACCAGCACTAACCTTTCAAAATCGCAATCTGCAACGTGTACTTCAAATTTCAACATTCTTAACTCGCATTACCTGCATTTTGTCAGTAACATTATACATTAACATATACCGGAAGTGACAATGCAGCCCCTTCAGAAGAACCTACAAAAATACATCATTTGTCATCACTCTACATGCCTATAGTTTTTAATTAAACGACACCTTTTTGGTTCCAACTCATCATTCCTTGCTGCTTACTTCTGCATAGTTGCTTTTAAGATACACGTGCACAGCAGCATAACTACACAAAGAACTACACCGTGACTGGTACCATCTTGAAAGCAGAGACGGCTAAAAACAGACAAAGTTGACAATGCCATTTTGACATAATGGATTATTGCATTTCCCCAAAATGTACGCATATATTTTAAAGTCTTTCTTGAACACTTGAGATACGAGGTGGACCTTGCAAAATAGAACAATGACACCAGTGTTGTAGTCGAGACCACTTAAAACCTCCACAAGACAACATAAAACCAGCACAAGACCTCCAGTCTGAATTCAAGTCACAAGCTTTTCAAATGAACAGCAACAACAGCATTCCTTTGTCATTCACTGTTCACCCCTTTACTTGTGACTGGTCTTGTGTCTGGTCTTAAGTGGTCTCGACTACAACACTGTGACACACCCACAACAAAATACCAACAACAACAAAATGAAAATCAAAACCCCTGGAATTAGGAAACTGTAAATATCACAAATAGTACAAGTGTTGTATATGTATTGGAAAAACAACAGTCCTGGATGGCTGAGTGACTACTATATTTTGTTAGGAACTCAACTTGATTCATTTTTATATCTTCTTGGGACAGTTTTGCAGGTACATGTAAAGGTCACCTTACACAGACATTCCCTTTATTTCCTTTACCTTAAGTAAAATTAAAGAAACAAAATTAAAAAAGAAATTAAATGAATAAATAAAAAATCAAAATAAAACATAAACTTGGTTTTTCTTCGATATATATAAACAACCTTGTGTCCAACATAACATACACCATTTCTACTACTATAGAATTTAGGTTTCATCTAGAAATACTATAAATAAATACAAAATATATTACACTGTACATTAGTAAACCTGTATACTATTGCCAGTAAGTTTTGCCCCATGCATAAACTAGTACACAAAGTATTTAGTAACAGCAAATACTTATATACTAAGAAAGAGAAGATAGGTGCTCAAGTAACATCCAAACTGTTCAAAGAATGAAATTTATATAGTATGAAACACTGCTCAGTTGTAAAGTACGCGGTATGTTTACATGCCATCAGTGCAGACATTCACACCATATCTTTGTACACTTGTCCCACCTTGGCTGAATATGGAAGGTGCTGCTGTGTTCTCTATGTAACGGAGGTGAGCGAGGGTAGTGTCTTACACTGCTGATCCCCATGTAAAGAATTTCAACGGTTCTAGATTGCTTTGTTGGCCGTCCTCTGATGTACAGACCAGTAAAGCAATGCACCGATTCCTGACCACTCCATTGAAATATGTGGAGGGAGAACAGTCTAAACCACTCCCACCACCAGAATAAATCTTAACAAATCCATTGCATTATGCAGATGTAATATGGAAGACTGGCTTCATTTCTTACACAGTGGTCTAGTCACATTTTTTTCTAGGAAGATTAGGAAAATAGACTTACAAAATCATACGCATAACATGAAATGTGTGATAATGGATATATTGATCTTCCCCTGTGGAAAATCTTGTCTTTCTAAGGGAAAAAAAGTCAAAACAGGTCTACTTGACCTAGTCTTTTATTCATGGAGTACATTTTGTGACCACTGAAAGATAATTGGCAAAGTTAATCATACACACACCACCACCACTGCCTGAAACAAGTAGTCGGGTCTACCGCAAGTCCAAGTTCTTTTGCAGGTCTAGTTATAAGCAGCAGAAATTGTTAACGATAGCACAGGATCACCTGCTGCCTGGCTTTACATCTGATGACTTGTGGTGGACTTGAAGGGACTTGTGATGGACTCAACTACAGAACTGTTGGTCATACATGGAGCCCCTACGCAAGGCCATAGAAAAGTCGCCACGGTGCACTGTATCGTGAATTGCGACCTATTTTGAGCTACTGCAAGTATCCCAATCCCCCAAAAGAAAAGCCTAAAATTTTACATTTTAGTGTACTAGTGTACACACTAGTTAGGCAACTTACACCAAAAATCAGGACAGAAATAATACAAAATGGCAGTTGCAACAGAACTTGCGATCTGCCGAAACTACCTACTCTCCAAGTTTCAGCAAACCATATCTCGAGATGTTATTGGTACCACGATTCCTTGCATACAATGTATGTCCAGATGTTGAGTAAATGAAAACAGACGTAGGTATTCTGAAGCAGTAGAATATGTGTACTTGAATCCAGCCCTGTAGTGCATTGTCCAGTTGGCCTCCAAAGAACTTGTCGCTTGCCATTACTTGAAAGCAAATCATAGTCGTATCGTGAGTACAAATGCCCTTTTAAGAGCTGTGAGTGTGCTTGAGTGTTAGTCAGCCTGCACCGTTAGGTTTGGAGTGAGTTTGGAAGGATTCTCATCAGCCTGTTGACAAGAAAGGGTGAACAAACAATGCAAGACTCAGACGAGGACAAAAAACACTGACACCATCCCAAAGCGACCGCCACCTTGATCAATATAGACTGCCAGATTTCTAGGACACTGAAATGCGATCATGCTTGCCTGCTTGTGCACTGATGTGGGCATAAAGTAAAGAGGCTTCGCTGTACAGGAAAAAAAAATCATTGAAACAAACGGGAAACTGGTTGTGTCTCAACTGCACTGTACTTAAAGCTTAAAATGAAGCCTCTGGAGACAGAAATGGATTTTTTTTTCTCCAATTCCAAAGTAATGACTGACATTGAGACTGCTGCCGAAAATCTAACTGTGCAGGGAGTTATAGAAACCTGGCAGGATTGACATTTTAAGCAGATACGTGTCCAAAGAGAAAGCAACACACAGTCTGTTTAAAAGAACATAAAAGTGCATTCGATGTGAATGGACAAAACGCTGACAATTAGAAAACACTCCTATCATCTCATAATGCAGCTATGTTAGGTACATGTAGATACATGCAGTACTAATGTGATTTCTGCAAACTGGATTTACTTTTGACACCAAAACAATGACCAAAGAGAGTCATAGGGCTGTGCCGAATATCCAATAACTGAATATTCGATCGATTGTCAAATATTCGAATGTTATTTTCCGATTTTGAATATTCGAATGCAAAATTCATGAAAAGGAAGGGAAAATTTTCGTTTGTTTTAAATGAGAAAAATTGCACTATGGTGGCTTGTTTCAGGCAGATTCAAATGAAAAGTGTCACAAATCTTATAATTTAAAATTTAAATTATTCATCAAACCAATTAAAAGGAACTGAAATTTTCAACAGGGCAAGAAGTCTTGTTCATCTCTTACCAGTAAATCTTGCTAAATCGTGGCTGAAGATACTCCTAGATGTGAGAAGCTATTACATTGATCATAATGTACAACTGTGTGTTACTGCAACTGATTTTGTATATGGTTTGTTCGTCAACAATCCGCCAGTCGGTGCGACCGAATATTCGGATATTTGATCAAATTGATGGTGAAATATTTGAATAGTGAATTATTCCAAATGACTCAGCCCTAAAGATTCACACACGTGGAAGAGATGAATGATCTTGCAGTTTTCAACTGAATGAGGTAATTTTAGGATTCTGGTGTAACATGTGAAAGAAAAAAATCAGGAATTAAGGTAGAAATTGTCTTCCAAATTAAACACTGAACTGATAATTAAATGAAAAATTCAATCAGCGCACTGCAGTAACATCGCAAAATCACACAATGGATTTTCTACTGGTCCAGATCTTGCTCTAAAGCAACATGCAAATGGTTAAAACACTCAATGGCCACTACAGGAAAAATGAGAGTAGAAATGAACAAAATGACAAGGACATAACAGGAAGGCAAAGCTAAGGCAAAGCTTTCACTTAAATCTGCACCAAGCAAAGAACACAGTTGGCTTCTTTGATTCAAGTTCTAGCATAAAGGTTGTACACCCAAGCTAGGGCTTTGCATTGGAAATGCTGCATACTCATCACGCAGGAAAAGATGGTCTGTACACATGTGACAAGAATCTGCAAAGCAAATGATGCGCCACCACTTTTGTGGAAATGCTTGAAATATCCTCGTTGTGCAAGCTGTTACGCCACCAAAATCCTTTTCACTGGGTATTGTATTCGCACACTCAGCCGAACATGTACAGAGACTTTTTTCAGTGGGAGTCATTTTGTTGAATTCTACCCAGGTTTTGTTCACTGTCCTTGATCTCAATGCAGTGTTCTCTGTTCTTAAAGCTACTGAGTACAGAGCGTCACAGAAATGACGGCCCTAGTCTTTACAGGGATGTACGGTACGGTTTGATGGGCCAGTGCTTTTAAGAATGAACTCTGCCGCTTTTCAACACAGCAGTCTGAATCAACTGATGTGGTGAATGTACTCGAAGGAGTTGCAACTCGCATTGTGACACACAAACCATCCAATCAGCAAGCATATAAGCAAGCATGGGGACCATGCCGTTGCTAAGGCATACTGTCGCTAATCTCAGATCCAAAATGGCAGTTTTCGTCATTATTGCACTGAAAGGGCTTACGGTAAAAATGCTGGGCACACAAACACACTTGTGAAAGGTTAGCTCCTTTAGATTTAGTAGCATTGATTAGTACAGTCAAAATGATCACAAATTTAATGCTAAACATTGCATTCAACTATTTTGTCTCAAATCTGAAACGAAACATTTCTTCATTCACAAATGCAGTGAAGTAACATATGCATGAAACGACAAGAAACTAACAGAAAACTGTGAACATTACAATATTGAACATGAAAATTTTGCACAGTTGAACAGTTTGAAATAGAATGAAGAACTGAATACAAGTAAATTGAAAACTTTCAGAGTTCGAGCAAAATTGCAAACTTTTTGATGAAGTACTGAAGACTCATGTCAGACTTATGTGAAAAAACCAGCTGAATTTGATAAAATAAACCTGAGAATGAGGTTACCTTGATATGAGCACACTCACCTGTATCTCTTGCAGTGCCTGCTTGGCGAGGTATGCCTCTCGCTTGATCTTAATCTCCAAAGTCTCTGGGACGTCAGGCACGGCAAAGTCAATGAAGCGACCAATGCCAAAGACAAAATGCTGCCGAAAAACAAGAAAGACAGAAATCGTTCAGGAATTACTGGCAAGATCCTCGTCTGGAATTTATGGTCTCCTCAGACAGCCCATGAAAAGATCCATGTAAAGGCACAGTAGCTCTCACTTCAACTCCCACTTCACTTCCTGTTCGGTGATGTTGCTTTAACCACATGCTGCCGGGTGCTTTTATAGATGCAGTGCACACATACGGGCGACTTTCAAGATTTTCAGTTTTCGAAATTCTTCAAAAATTCATCATTTCATTCAATGGACGTTTACACCCTCATGAATGACTGTTTGCGCTATGCCCAAAACAGTGGTATGCTGTTACAGACGGTGACGGATTACCTTAAAAAAAATGCAAGCCGAAAAATGATGGCAATTTCCAGCAGCAGGTCTTTTGTTCTGAGCATGGTCTTTTGTTATCCAGACCAGCTCTTCTGTCCGATTTCGGGCACCCTGGCTCTGTGTATAAACCCATGGGTGTTTGAAACGGGGTTCCCCGGCAGCAAGTGAGTCAGTTGTGTTTTTTGGGTTGTCAAAAGTGCTGAGCTAGTGTTGACAGAATAGAGTTTTGAGATGGCAAATAGAGGTTTGTTCAAGGATGAGTAACATACATCTGAGTATGTTAACATCTTGATCAGTTCCACCCTCCATGCATGAGTCACCTTTAGTGTCTCCTCAAAAACACTCAGTGACAATGGGCCCACAGTCCATTACAGTACAGGACACTGACATTTTGCACCTGTTTAATTCAACCAAATCAAAGTGAGGCTGTGTCTGAATTATTCTGGCTAAGGCTAGAACTTTTGCAGGAGTCTATGGGAAGTGGCTGCAACTAGTACCTGCATTGGTATACATTGGTATGCAGGTACTATTCGAGCTGTGGCCAAGTAACTTAGACGTGATCTCAGTGAATGCTACTGTCAACTTTCAGATCACAATTTCTGGATGTAAAGGCAGGGCTGAATACAAGATTACCTCGAAGATGATGACAAAGGCCAGTTTGACAGCCAGCAGTTGATAGTAGAATATTGTGTGGTTTCCCTCGGGATCGCGGAAGTCTTTATATCTGTTAGTAGAATGGATGAATAACAGGCAAAATTTACGTGCTATGTAATGCTGTCTGGTATAACGTACAGCTGTGTGTCATCCTCGCTCAAATCACAGCCTGTTTTCTTGCACTTGTGAGAAGTGACACTTTCTCCTTATACCACCTTTACATTTCTCTTTTTGAAGTAACAATTTCAAGATTGTTTGAGGTTGGATAGCCCTTATCATTCATTACCTCTCATCCCCAGATTCCAGATCTTGATTGGCCAAGAGCTTGTTATTCACTGTTTTTGCTAATCTGCTGTGCACAGCCCAAACTACATACCCCAGCAAGGAAAGCAATAAAGTACTGAAGTGCTACACAGTCGCTGTTGTGAGCAAATGCAACTGTTCTACTGCCGTAAGACAATTACACGCTGCGATCTTGCGGTGTTTCTTTAGTCAATTCTTGTTGTCCCGCTGATGGAGTTTTAGCACCTGCCATGGTACTTCTTGTGGGGGGGAGAGGAGTTAAAGCAGGTATGTCAAGGGACAACAATGCAACAAACATGGCAGAGCTGCATGTGCGCACCTGCAGGGCTCCGAAGTGGAACCATTGGGAGCGTACGCCAACGTGAAGTTGACGTATCCTTTCATGTCGAAGCGATATTGGTACTGATACATCAACCGCGGCAGGAGCTCGGAGGTGAAGGCGATCAAGAATGCCTAGTAAAAAAAAATAACAAATTAGCAATTGCATTAGTGTAACTGGTGATATGTATGATTTGACTGATTCAGAATGTAGGATTAAAAGGGGTAAATATACGGGCAGCTTTCTCAATATCTGAGTAAAGAAAATTTCAAGCATGATGCAAACGAAAATGTGCCTGCTCTGTGAAAATGATCCATAATGCTATTTTTTTTTTTTTCAGTAATTTTCTTTCAGTTCATATTTGAAAAAGTCAGCTTACAACTGTTTCGGACAGGTATTCTAGAGTCGTGCTGAACCAAATTAAAAGTAACATTTGAATTAAGTACGGCAAAAGTGCGACGTCTTAAATAATTAAGAGAGACCAGGCGTGCTAGCAGGTAAAAGATCAACACTTTGAGGTGCTTGGAACGACACCAGAGCAACTTGGTTTGAGACGTCGCTCTTCTCATAAGCCGAACCCAATGCAAATGTATGTATTAAGTTCGTCTGTCTGAAACCACAATGTAATTGGGTCGAGTCGCTCTTAATTCTATTTGATTCAGGGCGACTCTAGAATGCCTGTCTAAAAAGGGTGTTAGATCTTTGTACTGACCTATCACTCACATTGGCCTCCTAATAAAAATGGACATTGTGCAGGTGAAACATGTTAATGCTTCACACTAACTTCCATGGTGCATGATACTTTTTATGACCTGCTACTCAGAAGCGGCTCCGACGACATGTTGCACATATTCGTAGAGCAGGCCACAACTTGGGGAGTCAGGGAGGCGTAGTGGTTCTTTCCTCGCCCTTCACCTCTGCGGCCCGGGTTCGAATCCCGGCCCGGTCCACATGTGGATTGGGTTTTCAGTCCCTACCTGATTCCGTGGGTTTTACCTTGAATATTCCTCTGGGGTTTTCCTCCCACCTCTAAAACTATAACTGCTCCTCACTGTTTCGCTTTCTACAGGCTTCTTCAGGCTTGCAAGCTACAGTGCCTATGGCGCTTTTGAGGAATCCTTGGTGTCATTACCAGAAATATATAATAACTCATACCGGTGAATGAGACTACTACTGCTCACTCACATTGCTGATGACGGCTAGGTTAGCGATGAACTCCAGGATGTTATACCAGATGCCAATGTCCTGGGCCCTGTCCGCCACCGAGCGGCGGACCTCGCAGACGTACTTGGACCCATCCAGGCGGATCTCGATCCAGTTGTTCAGCAGGGCGAAGAGGGGAGCCAACGGGAAGGCTGCCACAAACACCGTGATGAAGCCAAACTGGATCACTGTTGGTGGCAAGAGAGATGCATATAACTGCATGGGCTCCACAGTACACACAGTCACACCAACACTAAGGGCACTAGTGTGTGACATCCACCTCTAGAACAATAAATCATAATCATCCTTTTGGACTTCAACCAAGCCACAAACATGTGATAAAACTAAACTGGATCACTGTTGAGGGAGGAGAGATGCATATATATATAACTGTATGGGCTATCGTCCGTACCATCACACCAACAGTGAGGGTATGGGTGTTTCACATTCTGAAGCAGCAGAACATATGTACTATCCCTGCTCCAAACGTGATGAAGACAAGCTGGATCACTATTGACAACAGAGAGATGCATACAGGTGCATGGCTCTACCATACACAATTCTGACTAACTTCCTACAACATGCTTCACAAACATGCTGCATCTCAACTGTCAGAAGTCACGATTTCCTGTAATGATTTTTTTCAGACAGGTTGCTATCATTGAAGCAGAACCAGCAGCATTTCCCGCATCAACAGACAGTAAAAATGAAACATTAATTGTCAACCCCCCCCAACAACGTTCCCGATCAAAACAACTATTCAATAGGGGCGGCTTTACCCATTTCCAGATACTCCTCAAACAGTCCCTCATTGGGTACCAGCTGGTAGTCTGCCTCCCATCGTTTGCTCTCACGGTCGCCAAGTGAACCACGCAACTTGTAACGGAGCCAACACTGCTTTAGTTTGCTGAAATGACATTGACAAAAAAATTTCCACGTGGAACTCAAACTTTTACTTTCGACAAATTACAGTTCTTTTCTGTTCATATTTGAAATATTCCAAAGTAATCCAGCCCAATATCAGATAAAAAAAATGGTACTTTGTGAAAGACATACTGTACATGTAAGTTGTGTACAATAGTCAGTTTATAAAGGAGTTGCACCTTTAAGAAACAAAATCATCTCTGACTGCCTAGGAAGCTCTAGGCATACTTACATACATGTCCATGTATATCAAACTCTCACTGAACTATAACTTATCAGACTCACAATATGCTATGGCAAAACCAAAGTTGCAGAAGCTTGTTAAACCAAATGGACAACATTTCATCCAACGAATGTCTCCTCCACTTACGGAATGGCAACCTCCTGGCAGTTGTTGATGATCTGTTTGCCGACCATGATGACCAGGAGCTGCTGCGCCAGCTCCACCAGGCACCCGCCATTGCTGCAGGCCTCGTTGCGAAGACCAAAGATCTTAGTGTAATTGCCTGGGTAGCCCACAAACCTTGACCAAACAAGCAGTGACAGCAAAGAACAAATCAGCACAAAATCACTTTTATCGATACGTGACATCTTTTCTTCAAGTTTCAAGAAAACGAGAGAATCTCATCGGATCAACTCGAAAAGATCTAGATATCATGACATATGACTCTGAAGTCTCTGAGCAACAGCGCAAGTTTGAACACTGAATGCTAACGGAAGACTCCATCCAAATTACAAAGCGGTGGCTTGAAACCATAGACGCTTCTAAGATAGTGACTACAACCATCTCACTGCAGGTCTCTCCTAACTCCACATTCAATTGTTCTGGCTCAAACAGAAAGTTTGCTACATTCACAGAAACACGTAATTTCAAACCAAACAGTAACCCTGTGAACTTGAGCAAACTTCTTGTAAATATTTGAAGTTAAAAATAATATACATGTACATGAGCAGCAATCATTTTGAGACCTTAAAATCTTATAAAGTAAAGAAAGGCTACACCCTATATCAGCATGACAGTCATTACAACATACAAGTACATGAACACATTTATCAAGTCATCTCTTGTACAATGACCACAGCATGCACACAGACACTGACTCTAAAACTACCCCCCCCAAAAAAAAAACAATGCCCGGCAAAATTCACTGCATGGCTTCGGAGGACTTTGCAGGATTGATATGATTAAGGGAAAAACAGTGTTCAACCTCTATTACTATACAATGGGCTTGATGCCTCTTGCAGTAAGTAAAAACATTGTGCAATGGAGTTTTGCCTCTATGTTTTGGAGTTTGGCAAATTTGGAAAAGTTGCAAAAGAATGCCTCAGGAGCCAGGACCGATATGAGGGACAGGAGAAGGCTTTTATACATGTACACGTCTTTTGTGAGTACCGCTTTCACTTACATGTATTTCTGGCCCAATTAATTTATCTTCAGTACTTTGAAAGTCTCCATTTTATCTGATACAGCCAAGTACACGTGTGTGTGTGTGTGTGTGTGGAAAAATAACCATTTATGCTCTTAAGTTGGCAGGTTACCTGGTATATCATACATGTAGCACAGCCTTGGATTATTTTTTATTGCAGTCACGTTAATTTGTCTTGGGTACATGTACATCAAGTAGAGATAAAGACGCGTAATAGTACATACAATGCAGGGCAAGTGTGACAGTAAAACAAAGCAGCCCGAGATCTTGTTAGGCATGTTGGGTTAGTTGCAAGGATGCTTAAAAGGACGTTGAGCAGCCTGAGATCTTGTTAGGCGTGTTGGGGTAGTTGCAAGGATGCTTAAAAGGACGTTGAGCAGCCTGAGATCTTGTTAGGCGTGTTGGGTTAGTTGCAAGGATGCTTAAAAGGACGTTGAGCAGCCTGAGATCTTGTTAGGCGTGTTGGGGTAGTTGCAAGGATGCTTAAAAGGACGTTGGCTGGCCTATCAGACCATACAAAGCCTTTAGCCGTAGCCCCCAGCCACAGCTACAACACAGTCACAGCCATAGCCATACATGTAGCTGCAAATACTGCAGCAGCTCGTTACATTTAACCCTCTTCACAATCTGTCTCCATGTCCAAATAAGGAAAACCAAACAAACAAAATGGTTCAAGGATACATGTACAGGAAGGATACAGCCTTGACTGTGATCTCTCGGGCCATATGGCCCGGAGCCCATATGGCCCGGAGCCCATATGGTTCACAACGCTCTACAGGTGCAATTGAGCACATCATGTACATGTAACACCACTGAGTACCAGCAAAATTAATATTGTGATGGAAGTACATGTAACATAACCGTGAATGAAAATGCGCATAATATTGGGAGGACTTATAACATTTACACTCGTAACTCAGTCCTGTTAGTCGCTTGTCACCTGAGTAACTGTGTATAAATGTACCAGCAACATATGTCTCAATGATATTGCATGCACGAAGACATACGCCTGCACTGTGAACTGTGCATGACCACCAACATAAAATGGGGGAGGATGTAAACCAAACATGGGGAGGGGTTTGTATATTACTAGGCTCTGTCTCTGTCTCAGGCACTGCATGATTCTTTTAACCTCCCTAACTTTGAGGCTGTTACCTCGATGGTAAGTAAGATAGTGCCAATGCAACAGGTCCAAAGACTGATGTAGTTAATTTGAATACTGCATGCCACGCTACATTCTGGGAATCAATTTTAGAGACAATGCCTGAGACAGAGATGAAGCTCAGTAATAGGAAACTGCTGCTTTATTGGAAGGGAGAAGTGTGACTCATCTGTCTTGTAAAGTTAACTTTATTATGATATTTGGAGTCATATGGAAGAGTAACACTACATGTTCACATGTCAGTATAAAGGAACTGGGATTCACCGAAAATGAGCACATAAATCAGAAAACAAAATGCATCGGTTTGGGTAAACACAGGTGACACAAATCGATCCGCTTTCCCCATGAAGATTTCATCCCATGCAATTATTACGCCACAATTCACGGTACAAATTGATAACATGGCAGCACAAAATGGACCAGTGATGAAATGAAAGTACATGCGACTGACATCTCCACATTGATCTGCATGCAGAAATGTATACATGTTCACGTAATGCACAGAAGTTGCATTAAAAGTTGTACCGAGTACTCACTTCCCATAGACAGAGTGCAATAAGTGGAAATGACCAGGCTAGATTAGACAGGGAAGATAGCAGAGAACCAGGCTAAGATCTACAGGAAGAATAGAAGGATCCTGAGAGAAACCATTTAACCAGTAGCCATCTGTAGAGGAGTTTGATTATAAATTAAAAAAGAAGGAAAACAGGAAAATTGAGGTCAAAACAGACATTCACGTAATGTGTAATAAGCTGTTAACTTGTCACCAAAATATGATAAATGAGAAAATATTGGTTTGGATGTATTGAAATATCAAGTTTGTTGAATTCAACTGTACTGTGCATCACAATCAATCTTGGTCTCTTATCAAATGAGCAAAGTATCTGTATGCAGATGTAATGATCTTAAAAAAACAGTCGCTCAGTCACACAAAAATATTTCCACGCAGAAATAACTGTAAATTCCAGTTCACCTTTTTGAAACCTTTCTTACGGCTGTATTAAATCTTATTAAATGTATTCTCGCAAAACGAAAACAGCTGGGGAAAATTGTGCTGTGACTAGAAGTTAGTTTACCAATCCCACTGAGACCGTGCGGAGTCAAAATGTGCATGACTAATCACTTGCTTTGTTCATACTCATACAAGCCAGCTTCTAATCTCATGGGACATTACGTTTGCCAGGATATCTGGACAGTCCTTAAATGGTGGCAATCAAATTTGATGAGTCTGAACAAACCAGCTTTCCACCGTATCAACAGAATTAAGGCCAAAACAACCAATAAATAAATTAAAAAATGGCAACGGAGATTACATAACTCCTTTTCCTGCTCTTTTTTAATGTGTTCATAGTTAACATTAGTTTGAATCAATGCACGGGCCTGCTTTATGGGCCACTACAAGTTCAACAAATGACCGTGTTGTTGATATGAGAGAAAGAAAACATAACTGTAAGCCTTGGAAATACATTAAAGTTGGAAGAACTGGACGCATATCATGCTCCCTTTGATTGCACAGTGGAGCAAACTCTGAGACACAAATTGGTATGATATACCTGTACATGTAAAATGAGCAATGGGACTTACTTCCCCTTGAAGAAGGCAATGTAGAAGATGGACGAGAAAAAGTTCATGAATTGGAAGATGAAGACCTTGAAGGTCAGGTTGTCCTCGTGCTCCGTCTGGGTACGGTGCATCTCTGTTGTGAAAAAATATTCAATACTTCATAGATACGAGTACAGGGCATTGAATGAAGTGGGATTTGAACCTGCCATCTCTGGAACGCCACACTGATGCTCTACAAACTGAGCTCTTCAGCTCTGTGATGGTTGAACTGTCCTCCCATTTGTCAATATTTTGGGGGGATTGCACAATAGGACCACAGATTGCAAACATGTATACGAAATTTGAAATGAGGATTCGAACCTGTGACTTTCAGAAAGCTAGAGCGGTGTTCTACCGAGTAAGAGCATGTTGTTACCGATCTCCAAACATGCTAGCATCTTGATTCAGGCAGTGATTGTGGCTTGACTACTGGCAAATGCAACAGAAATCCTGCTCTGTACTATGACACAACTGCTCTTGCTTTGTACTACAACACTGGGGTTCTCAGGATTTAACAAAGTTGAAAGAGTGTGAAAGAGGTTGTGTATATATACACACCCCAGTCATTCAGGATTCCGGCCAAAGTCTGATAGACCTGACCCAGGACCATGATCAGAATCAGGTTGACAACGGCGCTGGACATGCTGGCGATGCTCTGCGACTCGTTCCTCAGCAGTGCATTCTGGGACAGCGGTATGTCGATCAGGACGCGGTACATGATCACACCAACCATGAAGATCAGCACCAGGACCACCTAATCAAATCACAAAGCAACTGATCAATACTTATGAATGAAAAAAAAAATTTAAGTTCTTCCTCACCGGGAAAGTACCAAGGAAAAAATGGGCTTTAGCACCTCAGGCAGCTTTTGGTATAGACCCTGCATTGTGAGCTGAAGGCGCATGGGACTTTTGACCCATTTATTCCAGTGACAAAGATTAGGTAGGTTTACTAGCAAAACAATTCGGGGCAGAGTTGCAGTGGAGTCTATCACATTTCACAAGTCTCTCCATAAGTCCAGCCAGTAATCCTTTCATAATGACAGTCACACAGAGCCGCGATGGAAACTGAATGCAACGCCTCGGGATTTAGGCAAACGACTAGGAGTATCTGCACTATGAGAAATGGCCGAAATTCACTTTCTGATTTTGATGTTTTCAAAAATATTTTGACGCACATTCTTTTTGAAGGAAATGTCCTGCCACTTCAGCAATGTACCTACCATTCCACACAGGATGCCAACCCCAGTCAACCATCTCTTCTTCCGCAAATCCTCAGGGAAGTAGGGCTCCATGATGCCCGTGATCGGGTTCTTCTCCATCATGGGGGCCTTGGCGGCAAACTCTGGCCGTGGCCTCTCCTGAGATGGATAGAACAGAACGAGTAGGGTTCTAGGTACATGTAACTCCCTGCAACCCTCAGCAGCAGGTAAAGCCCAACTTCCCTGTTGCCTTTGACATATGGTGCTGCTAACTTTGAGGAGATATTCTGATTTTTATCAACGCCGTGCATGGGCACAATGTGATGCCACTAGAAAGTACTTGTAGCTTGAGCTACTAAAGCCTGATTGAAATTTATAGGCTACGGCTGGAAGCCACACACATGCCAATGGGAGCTGCTAGCCAGCAGCTTCATGTATTCCCTATAGACTTGTGCATCATTTCCATCTGTAGTGGCATAAATTTGGCCAAAGCCTTACCTCTTCCTCTTCAAAGTCCATGACATCCCAATGGTGGGCGAGACTAGCCTGCTTACGCTTCCAGTACTCCAGGAAAGACACGGCTATAAACAAGAACCAACAAGAGAATGTTAACAGCCACTCCCTTTGCCCAATCCAACAACTCATCCTCTCCACCAACAAAAAAACAAATCTGAGACCTTCACTGCCAAAAGACACGCACCTCCCCAAGAATTCAGGGAAAAATAACCAAGCTATTTGTGATCCGCTCTACAAAAAAGGGTAATAAGTCGCGCAATGCCAAAACATGTAATGGTCTGTTCTATTTACAGAGGGCATAATTTCTTTAAAAAATGTGGCTATGTGTTTTTTCCTTTAATACTTTCTATAATGTTCATATTTCAGAAATTGTGACTACAAAAATGGATATTGATGAATAGAGATGAAAAATTGATCATTTAATAGGAAATCCTATAAAGCATTGTGTTTCCAAGCACTACACTTTATGAGCTTTTTCTCGAAAAATGCTTTCATAGAATCCGAAAATGTGGACATACAAATGTCTATATCTCCAGAACGCAGTGCACTACAGGGGTCATTCATATATCAAAATGTAGCTTTTGATGTACACGATCCAGCCATATCAAAAACTCATAACCTGAACCTGGCGACTTATAACTCATTTTGCTAGAGCCAGTCACTTCTGTTAAAGCTCCCTTTCTACAGAGTCTGAGGACCTGAACATATAAAGTGTGAACGTCTGCTTCTGGGAGGACATCCATCCAGGGTATACATGTACTCACCCCAGAACGACATGAAGATGGCGAAGAAAAGGGTCCCTGGATGATCAAAGAGATAGGCAACCTGAAAAGGCAATAGACAAAGGGCATGACAGCTGAAGCGCGGCCATCAGGAGGCACATGCAATCACAGAGCCATATTAACTTGAGAGCTAACTTCTTCACTTTTTGCATGACGAAGCCTTGGCACCGTCCGGAGCCCAGACGTTCTGAATTCATGAGCCATTTTACCGAACGTATTGAAAAAAATATGGACAAAATTTCGAGTGATGTATTCTAAATGCAACATGCCCAAATCGACATATGCAAATAACATGCAAGTGTTCTGTCAACAGTCTCAGGCATTCATTAAAAAAAGCAGCAATTTGGATTGCTTACATTGAGCAAAACGTAATGCTCATTTACTGCTTGTTGTGAATTTAGGCTTTTGGTGTATCGGCTTTTGATGTTTCTTTTAGAATGCAGACGCAAATATGCAAATGGTCCTACAAAACTTACACAAAGTTTCAAGTTTTCGAAGGGTTTACGCATAAACATAGATGCACCCAGCTGGCTTCACTTTGCACAGCGAGTTCGTGCTCTAGCAATTTAATAGAGTGCTATTTGCAATTCAATGGGGCCAAGATGCGTTTACCTCATAGAGGCGTTTTATACCTCACCTTTGCCATCTCGCATTAAAGTGGAACGACAAGCTCTGTGAGTCGTCATCAACACTGGTCAGTTTGTTCGTTTAAACATTTGACAAGAACAGGTGATTCATTCAAGAACAAATGATTCAAAGCACTGTACAATAGGGTAGGTAGGGAAATAGGAAGCATTTACTGCTATTCTTTACATCATGGAACTCAACACACATAAAACTGTCCTCTCGGGAAGTTTCATTTGGAAATTATTATTTCCAAAACAAGGCTCATTTTGTATCGCAAGTTATTCTCACATGAATTTTGCCATCTCCCAGACTACACATGTGTACAGGTCTGCACCTGTATAAACACATGTGCTGGCCAAACAAAACAGCAACGTCTCTATAAAAAGGAAAGGCACAGTAAACATTTCAGAGTATTCATTTGATACCTCTGCTTGCATGCACGTATCCGACAAGTTCCAGAAGGTGCAGCCAATTTCTTCGTCGCACAACGGGCACATCTTGAATTCACCGCCACTGTCACACAGCTCACGCCTGAAAAGCATGGATTAATGCCCGTACTTACTCTAAACGACTCTACATAGCGTGTCAACTTTACTGTACAGCCGTACATTCCTGGCGGCTCTATCACATCACAAAGATTCAATCAAAAGTGCATCATTAAAGAACGATGAAAAATGACAACGGAACTCTTGAACTGGCTTTTGTTCAAATTAACCAAAGTTCAAAAGGAGTTTAGAGTGTCCTTCAGATCTAGACACAGTTTATAAAAGGCAAGGTTTCTGAATATTACAACATGACACAAACTACACTTACGCAGGAACATTGAAGTTCACAGTGATCATTCCATACAGGAAGACCAGCACGCCGACCACAGAAGAAGGTAAGAGCCAGCCCGTGTAGAAACCTGGTGTAGAAAGCAAAGTGTTCAATTGTTTTAGGCTGTACTTTCACATATTCCTTCTATATTGCTTCTTGGCTAATTATCTAATTTTTTTCCTTTTTTTTCTTTGCAAAATCTAAAAACTGTGAGAGTCTGCCGTTTTGATCCTAGCAGAATCTTTCTGAGAGGCAAACTAACATTTCTTAAAAAAAACAAAAATCAGAAATCTGACGGTAGCCAAGGCACATTTATTTACAAGTGGTTTTGAAAAGTACCGGTAGAATAATATCTACAAGAAACAGACAAAATCACCTGAATAAATGAAGTCTAGTATATGGGTAAATGACCCCAAGAACTAGAAAAGCACAAATTCATATCGACCGTGACCAAGCCAAATCCTCCAAAATCCTCTGAGTGGTTTTTGGAAGCTTCTGGGGAATGGAGGTTTTATGGCAAAAATAGATTTTGGAAGATTGCAGCTGTGTCTGAACTTCACACAAGGGCAGTTGGAAGATTTTGAAAGCAAAATTCAGGTTGCATCCAAGGGAGTTTGGCTTAAAGATGGGTGAACAAACTTAAGAATTTAGGCAGACATTGTGAACAAGCATAACATTAAAGCATGGCCTGGCAAGAAAAGTTTACAGGTGAACTGACACACTTACCAAGCCAGGCGAAGTATATCCCAATCTTCTCTCCAAAGTACTCCCTGATGTGGTCCAATGGCTGGTACTTATACCAGCAGCCCCAGCGAGCCCAGTATTTATACAGAATCTGCCGCTTGTTCAAGTCTTCGTCGCTCACCAAGTTGCCTTTCGGCAACTCCTCCGTGCCCTGGAAATCAAGCCCAAATAACGTCTGCATTTGGATACATACACAACTGAAGAACACTGCCATTTTTCCCTCCAAGATACAAGTGGGGAAGTGAGATATGTGGTGGACTGCTGTCCACATGACATCCAACTCTTTAAAAATACCTGTACTATCAAAACACATGCCATTTGCAGAGTTGGAATTTTGTGGCACAGGGAAGATGCCACTGAAACTGCAAAAGTGAGTGAGTTACTTTAGGGCCTGTGCCACCCTGTCATTGAAAATGTGATGTTTAAGACTTTGTTTGAAAGGATTCATTACACGAGAACAATGACCAAAAGATATTGTTTAGGAATGGGATTGACATGGTAGAAAATCTACTTGATGTAAACTGTATCTGATCACTGCAAGGAGGAGACTATCTGAACAGTCCGAAGTCCTTTGATTTTAATATGATTTTGCATACACTCTAGGGCAGACCTGCTAACCTGGCTGCACTCCTTCCTCAGGTCAGGCATTACCATAGAATATATCCAAAGGTATTTAAATGAGCCTTTGGTTCATTCAAAAATTTGATCTATTGTGTGGTAAAGTCTAACCTCCGGAAGGAGTATGGCTGGTGTTGGCAGGTCTACCCTAGGGGTTAGGGTTAACATGATCAAAAGATATGAATTTAACAGCTTGCTTTGGGAAGCCCTGATCAAGTTTTCAAACTCTCAGAAAATCCGTTTGAGCACACTGGGCGAAGCTAACTTCTGGCATGGAGTGCTTACGTCGTGGAGTGGGTAGGCAGCCTGAAAGACATCCTCCTCCAGCAGCCGGTCGATGCCAATCTCGGCCCGACGCCGCTTGCCGTAGGTGCAGCTCTGGAGGATCTCATTCACCACACGGGTGCGCTCCGTGTTAGAGAAGAATGTTTCCTTGTTCTCACTGCCCAAGAACCTATAATGTTTAAGGCACATGTAGAGGTCACCAGTTACCCATCAAAGCTGCTCTCAAATGAACTGCTGCTTTGTGGCCTAGGACATATACGTTTGTATATGTTGTCCCTGTAATTCAATAAAGAATGGTCAAACACAGAATAGTTTGATAGATCTGCAGTGCCACGGACAAGCCCATCACAAGTCACTGCAAGACCATCACAAGACCATCTCAATCCATCGAGTCACAAGTCAAGAACACAAGTTAATGACAATGGTCCCCTTTTGTTACAAGTGGTTTTCATCCATGTGCCTGACCTTGTCACAGGACTTGTGACAGGCTCATCTCCAACCAGATGTTGCAGATTGGTTTGTTTCCCATAACACCTACATGTACATGTACTGAAATGTACATTGTACATATCAAGTCACAATGACAACCTGAAAAAAAAAACCCACTGTGTTTTGGGTCTGCAGGGGTCTTTCAATACAGGCGATTCACAATAGTGCACCTCCACAAGTTTCCAACGCGTTGGCCAATCACAACGTGCGAAATTTGTCAACCCTTTCCAAAAGCGCACTGGGTTGACAGACTTCGCACGTTGTGATTGGCCAATGCGTTGCAAACTCTTGGTGGCGGACCATTGTGAAACGCCCGTATTCAAAGCAGTTCTTTCATACTTGTGCAACTTGGACCTCTTGAAGGTACAAGTGAAGAAGTCCAGCGGCTTGTTGGGTACGTTGTTCTGCATGATGTTGGGAATGTGCACCTTCTTCAGCATTCGTGCCGACCAGTTGGAGCTGGGATTGGTGTGGGCCTGCCGGCAGAGGGTTCAACACAGTTGGAGGCAGTGAAAAACTGGTGACACACAGTACCTCGAGGACCATGGCCTCGTTTTTTTAAAGGTGCATCTGATCAGGAGTCTTGCAAATACACTGTCAGAATCATTTTCACTCTGTCAAAGGTTTCAACTGCAGCCTGAGGCCCACAAGTAAGACTTATCTCTCGTGGTCTACTCGGAGGCCAGTCCGCAAGGCTAGCCTGACACTTACCATTACCACTTACCAGTGCAAATAAGCCACAGAAGATTACATGCCTCCCCCTCCCCACATGCACCTGCACCACACAAGCCTACGTTTGAATGCTTGAGGCTACTGATGAAACCTTCTACAGTTAGTAAATGGAGCCTGCTCCACAGGTCTCCACATGAGGCCCAATATCTACACTCACATTTGTAGCTGCCCTAAACAGGCCAGCCGTTGAGGACCCACCACTCGTCTTGTCATAGAGGCCTGATTAAATGTACACGCAGGTGCCCCGGGATGAGGCCCCTCACAAGTCTCTCAAGTAAAATCAATAACTGGACAATTCCAATATCCAAACAGGTGTTCAATTTAAAGTACCGTATTCGCAACACAAGCACAAATATCCTAAGTACCTTGGGTCTACAGTTACTTAAGTTAAAGACCTTTCGAGCTGGGAACTTCCCAAGCTCCGGGTTCAATAACAGCTGTCACTTAAGTTTTCATCATGTGACCATGTGCCTCTTGGTATAATTAACACTATTGCATGAAAGTTGGAGACAAGTACATGTATATGTACATGTGGCCTAGTGGTTATAAAGGGTTTGTAGCTTCTGATCATAGGGTCAGGGGTTCGAATCCAGCTGGTGGCAGCATGTTGCAATCTTGGGCAAGTTACTTTACCCCTATGTGCCTCTCTCCACCCAGGAGTAAATGGCTACCTGTGAGGGCAGACACGGTTATGTTTAGGCATTTGTGCCAAAATGGCAGCATTGGGCTAGTATACCCCCCCCCCCCCCGGGAGTTCAGATGGTTTCAGGAATGTTCAGATGATGCCAGCCCAATGTGCAGGGATAATGATATTAAGCACATAGAGACATTCCGTAATATGCGCTTCATAAGAACTGAATAAATTATTATTCTTATGACATGTACGTGTGTGTGTGTTTCAGCTGGGGGCATTTTAAAACCAATGACCCTGACCTTTTACTGTTTTCACCTTTGACCTATACATGCACGTGTACATGCACAACAGGTATCAACCTCCACACACCATTCTTTCAAGGCAGCATGGAGACTTCTGAAAACCTTCCAGCTTGTACACACCTACTGCTGAAATACCTATACATGTACATGTATGTACCAGGTATGCATGGGTATTCAAAGTACACATATGGTACAAATAATGTGAACATGCAAACGTATGGTACATGTGATGTACATGTAGTGTACATGTATACATGTGCATAGTACATGTGCTGGCAATTTCATCTACATGTATATGTACTGTACATGTACATATCGGTACTAAACATGTATTAAAACTAGCCAGGAACAAGTGAGTGCGGAACTTAATGCGTGTATAGGGAAACTGGGTAGGAGAACACCAGTTCCGAAACCCATAGGCTCTTTAAAAACATATAGGTGAATAGTTGTACAGTACATGTATTATACACTGTACAGTGTGAGCTGTGACCAGCAACTCACCATGTCCGTCAAAAGGAAACATCAACCATGCATAATTTATAAACATGCATACAGTGTTCATGAACACTTCCCAATGCCCTTCAAATATTGCGGCAGATGTTAATTACACAAAGTCAGTAAAGGTACCATAGTGTGTCTACAGTCATTCTGAATGCCGGACACATGTACCGTACCAGCAACATCTGGGATATAAGGCATGCAAGTTGTTTAAAAATCATCTCAGTTGAGAGCACCACATGGTTTATTAAGGGTCCATTTTTTTTGTGTCCCTGTTACATCTGACATATGATTTTGTAAGTTCAGAAAACATTTTCTAATTTTCAAGAGTGATGAATTAATGCAAATTGCCTGCCAAACAAATAGTAATAGTTTGAAATCAGTTCCGGTGATATTTCCACGTCAAATAACAAAGGTCAGATGTAACAGGGACACCAAAAAATGTCACACTTTTGGACCCCTAATTTCTGGAATTACCAACACTCTGTATTGATATCTGTTACAGGCAGAGAAGAGCAGAATGAAAGACGAACATACAAACCTCACGGTACGTACATGTACCTAGTGTGGACCAGTGAACAAAAAGAGGTCTATGTACAACGGAATGCGGCTTTGTGGGAATCTTGTGTGGACTAAGCTGGGTCCACACAAGGTTTCCCCATTTTTGGAAGACCTGTTTAGAGGCATTTTAAAGGTTCTAGGGCAGTGTTGCAAAGTGATGAGGCACTGTCAAGGAAAAAGTTGTCCATGATCAGAAATTTACGTTGACGATTTCAGAAATTTGCGCATGTTCACCTGATCAATTTTATCTGATGAGGTACATGTTATGGGGTTTCAGAAACTTTATTCTGCACTTTGCAAACATCAAGTGCAGCTACACATTCAGTCATGGCAGTTTGGCATGGGGTTACAGTGAGAATACTCAGTTTTATTGCATTGTGAACATTCTTTTTTAGTTGGATTTTGTTGAGGGTTTCTATGACCGCTCCTCTTCCTTTTGCTATGAATAACCCTCACCCAATAAGGCTTCTGAAACTGTTTTCCAAAGGAGTAACAGGTACAGTACGGTAAAAATATATCTAGTCCACGCAAAGTGCATTATGTTGCCACCTTTTGCTCACAGGATCACACCAGGTATGTACCAATGCATACGTATTTTGGAAATACTTAGGAATGGCGGGAAGAAAAGAAAGCAGGCCTACAGTTAACCCACAGCCACCTCTCCTTGGAATATTCCCTTCACAGATTCTTTATTGACAAACATGTCCAACACAGGATGCCGACATTCCCAACAGACAGACAGTGCCTCTCTTCAGTGTCTCCAGAGTCCAGAACCCATCTACTCTAACATACAAAGTGGGTCAGGTAATGTTCTTACATCAGCTCCAGGTAAATCACTCGCTGTTCCTGAGTAGATCTGGTTCGAGGGGGGATAAGAACGGTGATTTGAGTGCCATAACTCTGACTTAAGGTACTTGGTTACGGCCATTTTAATCATGTATGCAACACGTTCACCACCAACACAATCATTTGCATTCCTGACCATGCTCACATGTTTTTCCATCCCTAACCTTCTCAATCCCATCCCCCCTAAGTCCAAATGAGCAAAACAAAACTCTAAATCCGACAGGTTTCAGTATCTTCCATCTTTTCTCTAGACCTCTCCAACCTCTACTTCACAACAGTTACAAACATCTTTAAATATACATGTAAACTGCAAAAAAAACTTTCCTTTTAGTAACACAGTCTGAAAACATGATCAGGCAAATAACAGCAACATCTTGTTTATTTCCAGCAGGGATGTCCAATCATGCACGGTGAGAAAAAGGAATAAAACACAACATAAAAAATAGACACACAACGCAATATGCTGGTACTTCCATGCATGCAGTATAGAACTACATACATGTGCTATCGATCATAAATGTATACGGGATTTAATGTACAAAGATCATTCCAGAAGTACATGTCCGGTCCTTGTGCAAAGTCTGTACAGTATAAAAAAGAAAGATATCTACTGGTACCGTAGTGTCACCTTTCGACGAAAGGCTTTGTCACCTTTCAATGAAAGGCTTTGTCACTTTTCAATGAAAGGCTTTGTCACCTTTCAATGAAAGGCTTTCCATCAACGTTTTTGAGTTAAACAACTGACTGGAGGTGCATCTGCACTTTCCGACCTCAAAAGCGGATTCAGGGGGGTGGGGGCCAATGGGGGCCTTGGACAACCCCCCTCCCCACAAAGGGAGCAAAATGTTTTTCTCAAGTGATAATAGGAGGGTATTTACAAGTGTTTTCCTGTTTTGTTTCCTTAACTTCCAAAAGTGTGCAAACGGTGCCAAATATAGCCTCATCCCTCAGAGAGGCCACAAAAGGTTTATAGATATAATACATTGCAAAGGTTTTGCTCTTTCTTCCCCCCAAAGGCGCTGAATCTTCCAGGCTATCCAGCATACACCAATGTCTCTGTTGTCACTGTTCAGTGTTTGAGTGTAGGGTATATATGTTTCAAAAGGTCAGCTTGTGAATTTAGAAAACACTCCCAATGTCCGAGCCCTGAAAAATACCTGTATAAGGCTTTGCGCTTGAGGCTTTTTTCAAACCGCCTCATCCGGATAAAGCTCTGTGCACTTTACTTGTTAAGTGAAATGTTAAGACTGACATGACTGAAATGTTCATGTACATGTATTTGAATGCTGGAGCATTTAAGGGTTTTGCAATTAGGATTTTGATTTACCACAAGAACTTATCAGATTCACCTTGAAAAAAGAACGTGAATGAAGTCCCCCTCCCACCGTTAACAGTAAACATTTCGGAAGGAAAAAAAAACTGTATTCGGCATAGGCTTTGTGCAAGATATCACCAATGCCATTAGGTTGAAGTGTTCAGAATGAAAGTGCACAATGGGTTCATGTATGTTCACAGAACTTTTCAAAGTTCTAGATATTATATGAGCACAGACATTCATGTAGACTTGATAAAGCCCTAATCTCCTAATCACACACCGCTTCATATGTACAGGTGCATACTGACACCATGAATAAAAACTAAAATACATTAACTGTGGTCATCAATTACAATGTAAAGAAACACAAACCACTACATGTACTATGTACGGCTCCAATCATGGGTCCACTTTGTGTTACAAGGATACCACTGAAGGAACAAATGAAATTGAAAACAAGATCTACTGTTCTTTTGTCAATGGATCTTGTATTTAAGCCATTCAGAACAGTCAGATAATGCCTGACTTAAGAGGAAAAAAAAGTTTAACGAGTAAATGTTGCATATAGAACTGGAAGTTTTTGATGCATATGTATGAATGAAGTTCATAACTTACGGTAAAAAATTGCATATCAAAATAAAAAGCAAAAACAACTATTTTGAAAACGGTACAAAAACTGTTACCTGATCTGTAACATAAGCAGAGTATATCTTGCAAAGGTTAAACCGTAAACGTGCTGGTGATTAATAGTCACCATTTTTCTCCCCCGCGACGTTCAAAGTGGTGTACCCATGACGGGAGCCATGCGCAAATATGCACATCGGAGAAGTACATGTTACATGTGCCGCAAACTCTCCCTACATTAGCTGATGATACTCCTCTACATCTTCCTGCCGTACAGTCTGCCCAGTGACATATGGTAATGTGTACCTGTAACGGAGCCCTGAAATTCAGCTCTTCGGCAAAGAATTCCAGCACGCTCCACGGTGCGTGAAGCTTGTAGTATGTTATCGTCTTCTTGTCGCTTTCAGCCACGTCCAGCTCAATCTCCAGGCCATACCTGCGGAGAATTAAAATCAGTCTGGATGGTTGGGAGAGGGGCCTTTTCGTTCAACTTGGGAGAAATGATACACTGCATGGCATGCCAGGGAATAGCACTGACAATCAAAATTCACATGTATGACCTTGAGAAAAAAAATCCCTTTTTCTAACAACATCTGAATCAGGCCTTAAGCCAGGATCACATTAGGGCTGAGTTAACTTGAATAATTGAATATTTATATTTAAGCCTTTGAACTAATTATTGACTATTCATAAAAATGTACCAAATTCCAACAAAGCAAAAACAAACTGCGCACATTCATGTTTCTAACAAGTAAAATGGACAAACTTTTGGCCTTGTTGCAATTCTTGGACAGGTACATGCATTTACATGTAGCTGCCTTTAAGATCACTCATCACATCATGAAATGTATGCTTTTGGAATGTCATGTTGTAGCCAAATAATTGAAGGTTCCCCTTCTTCATTTCACCACTTTTTACTCCATCTGATTTTCATTCGAGTTGGAGAATAAATATCTGACTATTGGATAAACAATCAAATATCTGAGTTGATTAACTGATCAGCACAGCTGTACGTCACAATTTCCCTTCTTCACCCACCTTCTCAGGTTGTCCAGGAACTTCTTGCGCCATGCCTCCTGCTGGACTGACTCATCTTCCTCAGGGGGCAGGTTCTTCTCTATACGCTCCTGCTCTTCTCTCGCCTTCTTCTGTTTCTGCTTCTCCGACAGCTTCTCCTCCTCGAGAACTATCACGAAATCTTCGAATGGAAAACACCCAAACAGGTAAAGTTAAAGACTTTTCAAGGTTCAGCGGTATTCCACATACCGGTACCACAGAAAATGGATCAATTAAACCAGAGTCTGAGTCGGGGACCAACTTTGTTAATTACACCTTTGTCAACTAGGAGTACTAGCACATAATGTGCATGTACATGTATTTGATCTACCAGATTCAGGTTACCAGGCATAACTACAGAGATAGATCATGGCATGGTCACTGACTGAAATTGGTGAAAAAGCAATTTTTTTATTTTAAGCATTTTCTGCCAAATGCAAAAAAATATATATTTATATATAAATACGTGTACTTTCCTTATTCCTACCCACTTCCCTTTTCCCAAAAGCGTCGCCTTTTGTTTTGGTGGGGGCATTTGCAATCACTTGGATTCTCGTTTCTCACAAAATATGCAAATTTAAAACCTGCTTCATTCAGGTAGGATGAAAGATCCTTCAGATAAAATACATATGTACATGTATGTATGTACATGCACAGTTGCAAAAAAATCATCTGTTACATAGGAATGCACAAGAAAAGTGTTTATTCTTGGTCTGAATTGCTGTTTGGCAATTTGAATATTGGATACTCGATCGGTTATCTGGATAACCACCGAATTTCACTGTTCTTCATGTATTTTCAATTTTCAGAAGGGATGCATATAGGTCAATTTTTGGCAGGATATCTCTCTTTAAGATCAGGTAGTTTTTCCGTTTCCATAAGCTGATATGCTCGCAAGTATTTTACACAAGGCCTTTTCACGAGTAGATCGAGTCTTAAGAAGTAACTGAAAGAGAAACATTACAAATTTTGAAATCTTTACACGTTATTTTTCGGTATTTTACAGTATTTTACACAAGGCCTTTTCACGAGTAGATCGAGTCTTAAGAAGTAACTGAAAGAGAAACATTACAAATTTTGAAATCTTTACACGTTATTTTTCCAATCCAAGGGATCCGGAAGCACGCCATCAGGGGTCAACTTTCAAGCTCTATCTATCATATCTATTAAAACAATCCCCCGATTTCAATATGATTTTACATACACCCTAGGGGGTTAGTATTAAGAATAACAACATAAAAGCACCAAAGATGATATCTAGTACATTAAACGTTTAGTTCATACTAGTAATTCCTACCAATTTTTCTCTTGCCATCATTGAAGTATGTGCCAGGATCATCGTTGGCTTTGCGAACACTGAACTCAACGGGCACTCCTTCGTCTTCATCACCATCCTGAAATACACAAAAACTGTTCCAGGTCAAATCTACTACTTCAGTACTTGCACACTGTATGTTATATTTCTGTGCTGATGATGTGTTATTTCACCACATCTGATGAAGTGGTTGTTACTATGAAAGCTTACGTGATTTATCCACTCAGCTAGTCTTTAAATGCTACTTAAACTCTCAATACGGTTTTGGATGGACTAACACGGCTACCCACCTTAAGATTACTACGTGTACATGTATGTACAAGTGTTCACTACTGTAATGCATTGACGGGAACATTTACACAATTGGCACTACTGTAGATGTGCATGCACATGTACATGTATACTACCAGACTACAGTAACTCAGTGAACAGATCAAATAGTGCACAGGTGTACAGGTACATGTATTACAATGGGGCTATTGTACATGTATATGTTATACAATAATTATGCATACAGGGTATGGTGCGTGTCATGCATGTAATGATGTACTACTGTACATGTACTGTTGTATAATTTACCAATAGCCTGATAGCCTGCACACAGTTACAGGGATGCACATGTACACACATACATGTAGGCATATACATTGTACACTACTCAAAAAAACGTTAAGGACCATTTTTTTTATGTTGAGTGTACTTATTTTCACATGTACAAAAACTGTACATGAGATATTTTAATATTTTACTACTGAAAATGTGCATTTGATGTTTTGAAACACTTTTTAAATTTTCTATTCCAATGAGAACACCAGACAAACAAAAAGCTGAAAGAACTCCACAGCACTCATTGCTTGGAAAAAGATTACAAGTTAGGAAAAAAGGGGTCATGAAATTTGTTTGAGTACTGTACATGTACATGTATCAGTTCAATATGTACACGGCAAGGTTGTATTGATTTATTAAGCAGACCCACGTACAAAGTACAGTATAGGCCTATTCATTACTTCATATGAGTTAACAGGCAGCACACTGAAACATGTCAACAAAGTACAATGTACAGGTACATATACATGTATGTACATGTACGTGGAATTCTAAATGGTACACACAAAAGAGGAACATGGACATATGACATAATTTTCAGAATTAAGTTCATCAGTTTAGGCAGTGAGCACACACCCCAAACCAATGACCCCTGTTTAGCATACCAGTACAAAATGTGTACTTGTCAGCATTTTAAAAACCCTATCTGCCCAAAACCTGCCATACTCCAACAGCAGGTTTTGTGAGGTTTCGGCAGGTTTGGTACTGTACCTGAGG